GACTTGGTGTGCGAGCATCTTCCCTTCTGAATGGCTCCCTCTTTTCTCAAAGTGAGTATCCCAGCGAATGTTTTCCACTTCGCTTTCTCTTACGCACTTAGGTATATTGACGTTGTTAGTTTCTAGATGAGTGTTCCCTCTATCAACAAATACTGCGTGACTTTGAATTTAAATCTCCTGGGGTTCGTGACCTCCTCCACAATGTATCCCGTTCTTAAGTAGATGATATATGGATCTACCCAGCTTTTGTCCTCTTCACGTTCTACCACTATAGCCTCAGATTCTTGATGACTAGCAGGTTGAGTTGCTTGCGTCATCCCGTTCCCCCAGGCGAACACATCTGAACAGCATGTCGGCCACTTGTTTTTCTTCTTTACGAACATGCTCGATCCATAAATGCACAAATTTTCAAATTTTCGCCTTGGTCTTGTTATGTCACTTCATCATTTTCCCATCCCTGGCCTCAAACTCCCTATTTATCTGATTCATGACAAGTTGTGAGTCTGATTTTACTACGAGAATCCTTGCACCCATTTTGTAAGCTAGACGCAGACAATCAAAGCTTCATATTTTTTCTGGTTGTTCGTCACTTTGAATTCCACAGCCATTGAATTTGTACAAGCGTTCTCCCGTAGGACTGCTTAAAGCAAGCCCTAGTCCCACTCTGGTTCTGTTTGAGGCGTCGTCCGCGTATAAGAGCCACTCATGTTGGTCACTTTGACCTTCTTCATTCAACCTCTTCTGCTTTGAGAAGTTTGCCAGAAAGTCTGCGATCACTTGTGCTTTAATAGCCACCTGAGGAACATAATTGATATCAAACTTACTCAGCTCGACTCCCCACTTGAGTAATCGGTTGAAATGCTTTGGCCGGGCAAGCACCAACTTCAACAGATGATCTGAAATAACCCGGATGGGTTGCGTCTGGAAGTAGGGTCACAACGTGCGGGATAGCACAATTAAAGCAAAGGTTAGATTTTTCCATAATTGGATACCCGACCTCCGCCCTTAAGAGAACGTGGTTGGTGTATTGGACTGGGAATTTCCTTCCCGATTCCTCAATAACTAGCACAGAATTGATTGCCTCAGCTCCTACTCTTAAGTATAGTGAGAGTTCTTTATTCAGCTTTAAAGTTTGGAAGAGCG